AGAAAAATAAAAAAAAATGAATATTGTTATTTGTTTTATTTTTTGCAACATGTTTCATCGGTTTTTTTCATCGGTTTAGGAATATCACTTGCTGGATTTATATCAAAAAATCCATTTGGTTTAAGAGTAAATCCACCTTTAACAACAGGCATAACAGGAAAATCTTCTTGTCTTGGTATATGTATTACACCAAATGTATACCAAAGAACAATATCTTTATCGACAATTGATCGATCTTGTTCCGTATATTTTAATAAACCAATATCAGATTGACTTTGATTTGGATAATTTCCTGATCCAAACATTTCTTTTTCATCGAATGGTGTTACCCATACATGATAATCAACGAAACTAGCACGTTTACGCCACCAAGCTTTTTTTGAACTCATTGGTATACAATTTTCACCTGGATATAATTTATAAGCTGTTGGTTGACCAATAGCATTATGAGTAGAATTATTTTCAAATATCCAACAACGAGATTTTTCTAAACATAAATTATTTCTTGCTTGTTTTTCAGTATCAAGTCGTATTTTATTTATATGAAATGCATTATGGAATTGATTATATTCAGCATCATCTGGATCAGCTTCAGCTTCAACCATATATGCTGTATTATTTATTCCATCAATAGCTAAATCTAAACGTACATTAAAAAAGTGTTGATGATATGGTGCAAATAATTGTGGAGCAATTATTGAACCATATGGAGATTTTTGATCTGGTGGAACTGCACCTAATGATAGAATGCCAGTCATTATTACGTCAAAATGAATACTGGCATCTTGATATAAATACCTATTAATGAAAAAAAAAACGCTCTTTAGCAGAGTTATAATAGAAATTAAAAATAGAAAACATAATAGATTTTTTCCTTTCTTTTCTTACGATAAATGAATGTGTAAAGACTGAAAACTTGTCTCTCAGTGAATTATATTTCTTAAAAATAATTAGAATACTTTTAATAAAATTATAAATTTTGACTTTTTGCTACATTTTGAATAATATGAATGTAAAAATATGATATATTGAGTAAATCTTTGAATAAAATAATCGACCAACTCCGAAAATTAATTACAATACAGATATTTCATCATTTTACATGTAGAAAGAATTCTCTTTAGCTGTGTCTAATAGAAATTAATTTTCTCACTACATTACCAATTATGTTTTATTAAAAAAAATCTAATTACCAAAAGAAACCATATTCATAGTTTTCAATAGTTGCAATACTTGAAATAACCAATCGTCTACTTCGTCGTACCTAAATAAAGAAAAAAAAACAACTCACTTTATCACACTAAAAGAACATAGCTTTGTTTGTAAATTACTTCAGGATTATTTAATCGTCGATCTGTATGTTTCCATAGAATTCCAACATCTTCTTCATGAAGACAAATAGCATTTTTAATAACTAATAATTCTCCTCGACTTGTACACATATTTGCATCGAAGTATTTTATATACCCAAGACAATCACAACCAAGTTCAAGACTATTTGTACAACAACCTACACCATATTCACCACAATCAAATGCATTTTTTCGTGCTTGTTGTTCAGCTGGATCACCATAAGGTACAACCATTTCGCTTAATCCAGCTCGATATAAAACTGATCGATTATCATAAGTTAAATGATGAAGAACTAAACCTTCACGCATTGTAAAACCAACAACAAATGACCATTTTTGCCACGATACTTGATTACCATTAATTTGAAAACTTGGACCTTCAGGTTGAATAATATCTAATGGTCGAATATCATCACGAACTTTTCCTACTCGATCTGCTGTATAATTAAAATTCAGATAAGGAATTGGATAATGATTATATATTTCAATACGAATAACTTCCACTATAAAATCAAAAGAAATATTTTCAATTTTAGTTTTTAAATAATAAATTTACTTAAATTAAGATCAACAACAGGTCTTAAACCTTCAATAGGATGTGTATATCCATTATCAGTTGGATCTGATCGTACAAAACATAAAGGTCTCGCTAAACGACGTGTTCGTTCTTCTTCTTGTCCAAAATATCCACTTGACCATATATCAACCATAACTCGATTAACATCATCAATACCATAATGTTTACGTATTAATTCTTGAAATTCAACTGATCGAAGTACAGCTTGTTCACATTCAACTTGTTCATCAACTGTCATTGTTGGTTGAACATTAGGTATATGTTCAAATGAAATAAGATGACCTTCATTTTCAAGTGAGACATGTGCTTCATAACATGAATTTGTACCATTATCAAATAGAATAACATCAGCTTCACGTGAAATTTTTTCATTAGATTTATTAAGTATTTTTTCTTTTGGTGCTTCATGTAAAGTAATAGATACAAAACGTGTTGTTGGTGTGACTTTATCAGATTGTTTTTTTAAAACATTGACAGTAAGTTCGATTTCCGAAAGTGATAAAGGTTCTAATGGATGACGAGTTTGAATATTAGTTTTTGTACTTTTGTTTTGTTCGTTGGCCATTTATTAGTTTTCGACGAGTAGTTGAATATTAAATGATATCTGTAAATACTTTACTCTTTTTGTGTTGACTTTAGTTTATCTTTATACTTTTCGTTTGAGACCGATTAGATTTCTTATCGCTGAGTTTTATGTTTACAAATGAAGACATGAAAGGATTGAAAGAAAAAAATATGCGACCAAAAAATTAAGTTTAACACCTAAGGCGAAGATACGTGACTCACTCCATACGACAGTTACAAACTAATCAAAACACGTGTCCTTACTTTACCATAATTTGAGTATTATGTTTTTTTCTCTTTCTTTTTATCAATGACTATTCCTTGGTAGAAGAATACGATCCGTATATGGCTGTTTACAGCGACATAGAGGGCTGCACAAATATAAGTACAAAATGTATTCTAGTGCAAATATCACCCTAATAAATCCAGAATTTGAGAATTGCCTTCATCAAAGTCATCCGTCCAGTTGCAGTCGTGATCTCTTGCAACAATGTTTATATACTACGGATTCTAATCAAAATATATTTCCACACATTGTCTATTGATGAATACAAAATACGTGTAACCAAACTCTGATATCCGTGTCTTATGCTATCAGATAGTGCCATGCACTGTGATACACTCTAGATACTTCACTACATATACTCTTATAACCTTATATCTTGAGTATGGACATGACTGAAGAGAAGATCACCTCCAACTCTCACACTCTCCCATAGTATGTATTCCATTGTGAATGCAAACAAACGTTATAATTGATATTTATTCAAAGCGAAAAGGTGTGGTTGGGGGATGTGATGGTTTAGGTTCAAACCAAAAAAGTACTTTTGTCTTCAGGAAATATCAGTTAAAATGTACTTCTGTATTTATGGTGGAACATTTACCAAGGGGATATTCATCTCTAGAATTGTGCTCAGGTAACCATGATTAGGGAGTAAATTAGTCAGTAAGTAAAACTGACAACTTTGGAGAAGGATCAATCGTTGTTATGGAAGTATGTGAGCAAAGCATGCAAGAAAACCATATAGTTTTGCTGGAAGAAAAATGGAAATTGTCTCAGATAGGTAGTCACTTCTCTGCTTTCCCGATTTACGATATTTCCGTCCATCTCATATTAGAACAAAAAAATATCAGTAATCACAATTAAAATGTTTATGCATTTGGGTCATTATATTCTTTTATTCGAAAACATCTCGCATAACAACGAAGATAGTCAATTGAGTTTGCTCTTATTTAAAACTCGGAAATGGATATGCAACAATAAGTCGTAGAAAATATTTTTCTTAGTGTGAATGCAATAGTTTAATTCTTACTTCAGCTGCGGAATTTTTTCAACGATTATTTAATGCATAATATGAATAGTGTATGTAACTCAATGATCTATATGAAAAGTGTTTTCAAAATAAACCAAGAGAGCACAAAAAAATCAGAAAAAAAGCTTGTTAGTACAGCCCCTTTGAAGCTGAAATGTGGAACTTATCTCTCGTAGACTATAGCTGTTTTGCAGGATGATTGATGTCCAGAGTAATCACTTCTCTAATTTCTGCATTTCGAACAGAATTTTTTTATTTTTTTCTATGGCGATGCAAACAAAAATATAGTACCCATAGAAAAAATAAAAAATTCCTGTTCGAAATGCAGAAATTAGAAAGATTCTTGCTCTGATATTCAATTATCCTGCAAAACAACTATAGTTTACAAGAGATTTATCACTTTACGTATTTTGTATCAGTTTAATGAGGCTAGAGAGAATATGTCAGTTTCACAAAAAAAAACACAACAAAAACTAAATAAGAATGTTGAAAGATCATCGACATAAAGTCGACAAGTATAAATTTATATAAACATATCCTTCTGTTTGTTCGATATATCGTCATGCAAAATATCAATACCAATTCATGAACATGTTATTATACTTAATTCAACATATGAAAAAAAATTGACAACAATATGTGCATTTTAATTCAATTTAGAATTCAACTTCTATCTACATGAAATACAGAATTATCATACAAATTAATTCAGATGTTGATGTAAAAGTTAAAAAAAAAGATTTTTATTTTAATTAGAGAAAAGATAAAAATACCCAATAAGTTTCTTAATTCAAACCGAGATTGTGAATGAATTCTATAAATAATTCAACATATTTCGACTATATAATCTTATTTAAGTTATAATAGATCTTTTTGATGTATCATCAATTTATCCATATTTATGAAGTTTTTATAAATTATTTCGACGTTCTGATAAATGACCTCCAAATTCATAGACATAACCATTTTCATTGTGTCATGTTCACTTACAAAAATATATGTATTTATATAATTTACCGTGTGATGAATATTTAAATGCTTGAAGAATTGATAAATTACATTCTTCTTCTTCTGATGATATTTGATGAATCCATACTGATTGAAAATAACGTCTTTTCTTCATTAAATAAATTATAAACATTTGATATTTCGAAATAATTTTTTGATTCAAAAATAGATCAGATTTAATGCTCAATAGTCTCATTTTTGCCTAACCGATTAAACGATTCAATTCATTATTTATAAATCTACTTAAGTTACGGAAACTTTTATTATTACATACCAATTTTTTGGACACAGATTTCAAAATAAAACTATTTTCTAACCATTTTCAATACTAATCTATTGTTGAAATCTAAATATTTATTATTATAGAAAGAAAACAAACTTTCTCATAATTGTATTTAATGTTTTTGAATTTAAAAAGTATTTCTGTAAATGTTTAACTTGAAGATATAGATCTAAATGATAAGTCCAGTAAATAATAATAGATGGACGTTAAAGAAACCATATATAAATGACTATTTCTCATAGAATTTATCGCATTTGAATTTCTTTTCAACATTAGTAACGTGCACAAGCTCCTTCACTTTTATTTAAATGATTTATATGATGAATTTCAGATATATGAATTAATAATGAATTATCTTACATAAATTATTCTTCAATTTTCTTTAATAAATACAAAAAAAAACAAACTTGATTAGAAGGAAGATATTATTCATAATTATTTAAATCAATTTGATTATCAGTTATTACCAATATATATGCTTTTATTTCTTTAACATCATCATAGGGATTTTGAAAGAAAAATGAAAAAAATTTGTTTAACGTAAAATCTTCAAGTAAAATTAATTCTTTTTAAACAAACCTAAAGTTTATTTTTTTTATGATGGTATGAAAATCTTGATAAGAAAAATTCGGATAAAATTTATATCAATAATTCTTAATTTTTTATATCATTAAATTCAATTTCACATGCAATTATAAATAATATTGATACAACGATTAATATTAAACTAATCCCGTAGGTTATAAATATACACCCTTATGAAAATATTATTTCTAATTTTTGATTTTTAGTATAATTGTTAAAGAAAAGATAACTTTTTCGTAGTTTATTTTATTGGAATTAAATTTTGATATAGTGAAAAAATTTCATATTGATGAGACTGTAAACAACAAAATAGGGTGTGGGACATAGGTGAGCATGCGTATATGTTGTGAATGAAGAAAGCACATCCACACCCTGTTCCATTTAGTTACAGATAGCATCCCAAAAAGACAAATTTTTCAAGTTTCGAGAGGCGCCATTCTATTTACTCATATATCAAACATTTGTGAATACACCTGATTATAGATGATGAATCGTATAGATAATTAAACGACCAATCGATAGCGTTCTTCATAGACATGATCCTAATTTTAACCAGCTGATTGATGAAAATGTAGTTTCTTCGATTTCAATCGAGAGAAAATCTTTAACTTCTAGAAGATGTAAATATCGTTAGAGAAAAATACGATTCATGACAAATACTAAAATCAATTTGTTTGGAAACTCGAGATTCGTGCTTCGTACTGCATTTCATATTCGAGTTAAACTCGGTTTTACTGAATTTTCGACCAATGTAGAGAATGTCTAGCTTCATCAAAAAGCAATGGCTAATAAATATTTTCTTTTCCATAAAAACAGATCTCAGTGCATTTGAGTTAATTTCAAAATTTATAACTTAGATGAGACAATTGTAGATGTAATTTAATCATGTTTTTCATAGCATTTTATTTATGGAAATCTGATTAGAAAAAAATTCTTTTTTTCATTTTAGTTTCGAAATAGATATGAAAAATGTCAATATGAACTTGAACAAGCAATAAAAGATCGTGAAGGAATATCAAATAAATTCAAATCAATACTTGATCGTTTGTAATCATAAAAGAAATTCTTTTCGTTTGTTTTTTTAAATTTTCATATTTTAGAAGTGCATGATTTAGAACAACAATTATCAGATTTACGTAAAAAAGTTGATAGTGAATGTACAAAAAAAGAAATTGTATGCAGTTTTTTTTTAATTATAAAAGAAATTTAATAAGACAAAAAGATGTTTTTTTTCTTAGTTATAGGCAGCGAAAAAACTTCAAGAAATAATAGAATCAAATCCAATTCAAAATAATCTATTTTTATCTAGACCAATTCGTAGTAGTCCCCGATGTGATCATGATCGAAATGAACGTAATGTTGCACGACGTCTTGAACAAGTTTTAGAAGTCGTATGTTTTAAAAAAAATTTGAAAGCTTTTTGTTTTTCTGGTTAATTAAAATAATTTTATTTTCAAAAACAAACAAACAAAGGAACATATGAATTATGAAAAATTACAAAATGAAAAAAATGAAGAATTAGCAAGATTATGGGAAGATATCAATAAATTAAAACATGAATTAGAAACACGAAAAGTTGAAATTGAAAAATATAAACAAATAGTTGAAATTCGTGAATCAATTGATAATGTTTTATTAACAATTGATGACCGAGGTATTTAATTTCTATTCAATTAAAAGGAAAATTTGTTTACAAAAAAAAACAATAGACCATATGGAAGTTGGATACAAATTCCAACGAGAAATATTCGACGTGGAAGTTGGAAAAAGCAATATGCTGTTATTACAAACAATAAATTATTATTATACAAT